TGTCCGCCTACTACGATCCCTCCGATCACAATCGCTCGCTAACTACAGTCCCTCAAACCTCCAATGTGCGCCTACTACGATCCTTTATTCCTTCTTTATGTGTCAACTATGTTCCCTCCTACCTCATTTGCTCGCCGAAAGTTGTCCCTCTTGCCTCTATTACATGCCGACTATAATGCCTCTGACTTTCATCACCCGTGGACTATGGTCCCTCCAACCACTTTCGCCTCCCAACTATGGTTCCTCCGACCACTGTCACATGTCGACTACGACCCCTTTGACCTCTATCGCCTATGGTCCCTCTGACCATCGTAGCCAACCGACTATGGTCCCTCTGACATCCATAGAACATTCGTCGCTTGTCGACTAAAGTCACTTCGACCACCATCGCTTATCGACTATGGTCCCTCCGACCTCCGTCCACCCTTTATCGCCCACCAACTGAGGTCCCTCTAACCTCTATCGCCAGTCAACTAACATTCCTCCAAGCTCCATCACCCCCTGACTATGGTCCCTCTGACCTATGTTAATAGTTGACTATGATCCATTCGATCACTTTCACCCACTGACTATAGTCACTTCGACCACCATCGCCTACCGACTATAGTTTCATCGACTACCGTCGCCTGTCAACTACGGTCCCTCCGACCATTATCACTCGATTACGGTCTGTCCAACCACTATCACCGGCCAACTAAGGTCCCTCCAACCTCCATTACCCATCGACCATGGTCCTTCCGACAACCGTTGCCTGCTATCTACGGTCCCTCTTACCACCGTCGCTTCCTGACTACATTCCCTACGACCAACGTCACCCAACTACAGTCCGTCTGACCACCGTCACCCACCGACTAAGTTTCATCCAACCTCCGTCACTCACCGACTATGGCTCTTCTGACAACTGTCACCATCCGACTACGGTCCCTTAATTCAAACTCAATCACCCATCGATTATGATCCCTCAGTCGTCCGACTATGATCCCTCCAATCTCAGTTGCTCAACTATGGTCTTATCAACCGAACAAATATGCCAACGTTCTGCTCTCATAGCATTATATTCTTCCAACCCCAAGTATATAATGTGATCTATATTTTCTACATTGAGCTAACATCTTCAGTCAATGAATGACATTATTTGTAATGAACAATAAACACTCGTTGTTTCATTTCAACAAGGCAACCCACGATTTTTTCTCCCTTTTCAGAGTTTTTCATGTAAAAATTATAGTCTCTTATGACTCTTACACCACTCTCTCTCTATCTCTCTATCTTCATTCAAAACTAGAATGCTAAGCTCTATATTTCTTTACTGTCACAAATGTTCTAACAGACAACAAATATATATTTAAAAGATAGAATCACTCATTCGGACATATATATTTCATAATTCCCTAAATATAATAATTCTAACATATATATTACACACGATAAAATATATATATATTTTATAAAATTTTAAAGGCCTCCTAGGATCCGCTCAATTTTGTGCGGACCCCACATATGATGATAAGCATATAAGATAAGCTCACACCCACATAAGATGATAAGCCTAAGTTCCCTGAACAACTTGTAAATTACTACTCCTTATTACAACACCGCGTATTCGGATATATAACGCAGGACGGCAGGATCATGGATGTGTCATGTGGCTATCACTCATATTCTTATGAAAATCATTTCAGCGGGCCCTTGTTTTTGGTAGGGACGAGGAGCGGTTGGTGTTTATAAATATATATTAAACGACAATATTAAGGCCTGTATTGCTGCAATAAGGTGGCCAACTCATGAAAATGGCTGGTTTGAAAACGTTGGAAGTGTGAAATATTTTAAATACACGAGTTTTGAAAATATAAATATTTTATTTGTAGAAAAATAAATTAAAATAAAATATTAAAAATTCTAAATTTTATCGTTTAGTCATTTTTATTTTGAAATTAGCCAATTTGATTATTTTTTAAATACATTACAAGTTATCGTCACTACTAACCATTGTCACTCGCCACCACGATTAGCTAATGTTGTCACTATATACTGCCACCGTTGTCACTCACCACCACGATTAGCTAATGTTGTCACTATATGCCACTGCTATTTTTTCTTTGACGAAAAATTGATCAGGGCTTAGCCCATTCTATAAAAAAGAACAAGGGTGTACAATAAAGAATAAAAATTTGACAATTAACAAAACTGAGACATGACAAAATATAAAAGAAAAATATGTACAACCCAAAGGAAGAGGAAAACAAAAATGAAAAATGAAATAGAAACTCTGTCTAGCCATGACTCATTACTAACTGATGAGATCATACGTAGAAATTCAAATTCTCCTTTGGTTGCCCGAAGTCCATCTAGGTGATATATATTTGAAGATGAGTGAAATATAAAGAAATTGTGGATGAATTTATTTGTGTAGTATTGGATGTTGAACTTAGTTTATCACCATTTAACACGATATAGTTAGCTCTATCTTTGGGTCATATTAGGTTGGGTCGTGACATTGAAATTTTTTCTTTCCCTTATTTTTTTCCACATAAAACTTTGATGACTCTTATAATCTTTTCATTTATCTATTTGTGAATGGAATCTTTGTGAGAAATTTGTCTAGATTATAGCATGCTAAACATTTTTGTAGCAGTAGAGTGAGAATTTTATTTTATATTTTTAGCATGCGATAATTATGATAAATTATATATATATATATATATATATATA